GAAGGAAGGGCAGCCTTCAATGAGCATTCCATAGTTCTTTGTTTAAGATTCCAGGAAGACAAAGTCAACTAGCCTCAGAAATGGCAACCCAAATGGCTAGATTTAAAGAAGAAACAACACTCAAGGTATTCAAAACAAAACTTCTGTTGGCCTAACAACCAACGTTACCAACACAAGGATTTATTAACCACAGGCCAAGCATTATGTTGACCCTGGGGATTCCAAAATGAGCAAGACATTCCCTGAGCCCCTAAAAACACATAGGCTAGTAGAAGACAGACAAGAAAACGACGTGATAGCTCCACGTAGTAAGACGAGAACGCAGTGTTAGTAGGGCCCAGGCAGGGCCCCTCAATCAGGATCAGCTCGGCTTCTCAGAAAACTTCATGCCACGCTCCTGGGAGCAAAGACAGCTCTTCCGCTGAGTTAAAAGCGCTTTGGTAATCAAGGGGAACAAAACGCTCCCTGTGCAGTGCTGTTTATTTCCGTGGTTAATAACTTTCTCTCTTCAGCAAGAGAGACAGTTACACATGCCATAGAAACAGTTCACTGGAAACCCCAACCTAGCTATCAAAACCACACATGGTCTAAATGCAAGGTGGCATCCTGGACTGCATCCTGGGACAGAAAAGGGGTATCAGTGGAAAATCGAAAAATAAGTCTGTAGCTCAGTTAATAGTATTGTACTAATGCTAATTTCTTAGATGTGGCAATTGCACCACGGTTATGTAAGACAACATCAGGGGGAGCTGGGTGAAAGGTATACAGGAACTCTGCACCATCTCTGCAACTTTTCTGTAAATCTAAAATTACTCCAAAATAAAATAGCTTCCCCAAAATTACACATGGTTTCCCACTTTACAGTCTCACTACCCTTTAGGATTCTGATGATGCCTTCCTAGTCACTGCCCCAATTCAGGTCCGATTGTAATGTTTTTTAAGTCCTTTCAGCTCCTTACTATAAACCATTTAGGCAGGCTAGCTGAATTTCCTTCTTTACTGAAACAGGAAAAACTGTATCTCTGTTGAGAGATTTTATCATTGTTTTCTCTTCCTAATAGCTTCACCACATACACCAAGGGGAATCCTTAGAGTTGAATTTCCCTTAGTAGACAAGAGAGGGTTTTAAATAAACTGGTCTGGATCTCTGGATAAAAACAAAGGGACACTAACGAAAACGTATGTTACATATGATTAGATTACCTTCACCTGATCTCTGGCCAAAAAGGATCATGAACAGAATATACAATGAACAGATGCAGACTATTAACATCTCAACACCAACAAGAAAACTGCACTGAAATGAATGCATCGGCTACAAGACCTGAGAAGCACATTCCTCGACTATTCGAGGTAACAAAAAGCCATACTAAAACCATATGGTACTGTTCAATTCAAGCTAAGTGACAAAATGTATCTGCCGTGGCTATTTGGTTTCTAAAAAATAAACAAATATTCACCTCTTTCTATTACACCATCATTTCAGAGGAGGCTTCAAGGGTCCCACCAGGAAAGCATCATGATGACGTAACACTGTAACAGGGCCTCAGGCACACACACAAACTACGGTAAGATAAACAACCTCGAAAGTTTGAAAACAACTCTAGAAAAGAGTATCAGTGAGGCATAATCATTAACAAACCCCTCAAAGAAAAAGAAACCAAACAAAGATAACTGAAATTTAAACCTAAGCTATTTGATGGCTAAAGTCATGTAAAAGGTAAAATGATATACTAGAATACATTAAGGTCATATAATTTGACCTGTTATAGTATTATTAAATAAATATTATACAACAGTACTCTGACCCAGACCACTTTCAGAAAAATTAACAGGTAGAATAAATACGTTAAAACACTTTAATTTGCATATGTCTGTCAATCACCTGCCACACCTCACCCGTTCACAAATTCTTTTCCCACACGGGCCTGAGCTCTTGAAGAGAAACCCACATACTGCTTAGGGCAGAGCGGGGCCCTCGGTAAATGACTTCCAACGGGATTAATACTCAGCAGTGAACCGCCTCTGAAGCATCCTTACCGACCATCTCAATATGAATACCTTGGGCCCTAACTGGTGTGGCTCAGTGGGTTGAGCATCATGCCACACATTGAAAGGTCGCCAGTTGGATTCCTGGGCAGGGCACGTGCCTGGGTTGCAGGCCAGGTGCCCCGCTGGGGGCGTGCGAGAGGCAACCTGTTGATGTTTCTCTCATATCAGTGTTTTTCTCCCACTCTTTCTCCCTCACTTCCTCTCTCACTAAAAATAAATAAATAAAATCTTCAAGAAAAATCAATACCTCAGGAGCAAAGCATGCTGTACATCATGCTACCACATTTAGAAGGCAATCATGTTAATTGAAAAATAATCAACAGCAACTAATATTTTTTGAGGAAAAAAGCCTCAGGTCACATCAGATAAAAATATGTGTAAACACCATAACTTAAAAATAAAGAAAATATCTCTGAATTAATTTTTCCCCTTGATGGCCATAAAAAAATGAACTATCTTTAACTTCCTAACACTGAATCACAAGATGTTCTTTATCGAATCTTTCACCATCCACCATTTACAAAGAAATCTGTCATCAACTTACATGGGTAAGTTAGACCAATTAGTAAATGGGATGAAGTCTGAGCCCAATTATGAGTTTAAACTGTGGAATGAATGCCTTGAGCAATTTTTTCCTTTCAAGAATGCATAAAAATACAAAACAACCCTCTCGACTGCTGGGAAGAGCTATACTCATTTATTTCTCACAAGCACACAAAGTAATTACTTTCTGTTCCCACCCAACACAAAGCAGCACGACCTCCTCCTCCTATCACCATCAAAACACGCTATAGAGTATCGGAGTACTTGAATCTTAGACCATAAGAATCTCAGATTGCAATGAAGTTACCATGCAACAAAAAACACCTTTCTCTAAGCATTTTCTCACCCCCCATGGTGTTCCTACAATAATTTAGCTCCCTATCAAGTATTAACAATCAAGGAAATCAGAAAATTCTCAGAATAGATATTATACACTGCTTGGTTTGGTTTTTTAAAAAAAGTTATTACTGTTCATGGATTCCAAAATTCAGAGTACACACTACCAGGTGAGTGTTTTTTCAGTTTTCCAATGCCTGAATTTAAATGCCAGTAACTATTTAATTATATGCGACTTTCCCTCTAAACCTACATATACTAATCATTCTCCAAATGTTTTTTAAAAACAAACAACTGTTCATATTCACTTAAAAAGCTTATTGCTTAATAACCCAGAAGATCGAATGTATCAAAAAAAGTAGTCACTGTCAGCTCTATCCATGCATGACGGGTTGGCTGACAAGCTGTTCTGAAAAGATTAGGAACTTCCAGTGACTGCAAGAGGCACATACAGTATCTGTAGATACAGCAATAGTAAAACTAGTTCAACATCAAAAATTCAGAGCCTACAAAATCATACACGTGAACTGCAAAGCTATCTAAATGCATGTATGTCTAAAAGAGAAAGAAGAACAAAAACTGTCTGTACTCAAATCAGCATGAATAATTATCCTTCAATTGAGCTTTTCAAGAACTGAAAACTTACTGAGGTTCTTCAGGTTATTAACACTTTCCAGTTCCAAAACAGAGCAACTGTATTAAAATACAATCAACATAAAATTCCACCACCACCACATACTCTATGTTGGAAGACACAATGACAATAATAGGAAACATTTTAACAGGGTTTAGTTGTGGTGGGCGCACTATTCTAGGAACTTCACATTTTAACTCATTGAGCCCTAATGACATCTCCATTTTACATAAGAAGAAACTGAGACACGGACAGATAAACTCATCCAAAGGTCATATAGCCAGTAAGAAGCAGAGTGTGGATTTTAGCCCCATCAATCAGAACCCAAAGTTCATGCTAACCAATACACTCTGTTCAATAGTAAGGGCCATCCAATGGCCAGCTTATTTTCATTTTTTATTTTAACCTAAAAACCTTTTTGGATCTCAAACACTAAGATAGCTTTGTGCAGTAAAAGTACACTTTGCATTCAAACAAACCCCTGAATAAGTCTGAGCCTTGGTTTCACCATATGTAAAATGAACATACTTAAGTTATTGTGAATGTCAAAGAATACAACTTTGAAATGTCAAGTGCAGTATACAAAATACAGATACCTTCACAGACACCTAGGGTGTCCATGGATGGACTTCAGAGTCCACGAGTCTCACAAACTTTATGACAAATACTGTCTGTGTATCCATCTTAAAAAGAATCGTCCCCGAATTTCCATAAACTTTCAAAGGGGACGTGATCTCCAAAAGGTTAAGAACCACCAGAGTACACAGCAGGTACTCAAAAAATGAAAGTTATCTTTCCCTTCTTGTTCTCCAAATCGCTCCCTTTTCCATTAAGGATGACACATCAAGGCTTCACAATAAATGTCAATTACTTCCCACCATTTTCCTGGCTTGGTAACTAGTAACACGTGCCAGATTATACCCCAATTTTCTAGAGACAGTCTAAAGAAGACCCTCAAATGCTGCTTCCCCCTTTCTCTTCACCGACAGGTATGCACAGTAGTTACTCGAGAAGAATCCTGAGAACCGTCCACCCTGCTGCACCAAGTACCACGCCGGCTAGGAAAACCAAGTAAAGTAGGAACCGGAGCCTCCGAGTTGCACGATAGAGACCTCACGCCCAGCGCTTTGGGATGACGAGAATGTGTTTCCCAAAACTACTGGACAACCCAGAATTCGGCCCCTGTCCTCCCTCTCCCTGTAACTCTGGGGCAGGAAAGGTCCTCTGGACTCTGCCCTGTGCGGGAGTGGTGAAAGAGAGAAAGGTTACCAGAGCCAGAGGCTGCAGCGCGGTGACGTCCCAGGCTCTACTGCCCTGACAGGCGGCAGCAAACCAAGCCAGAAGATTGCCCTCGACCCTCCCGACTACAGATCCAAGTACAGATCTCCACCTGGCCTGGGTACCGGCTTCGGGCTTTTACGCTTCCCAAGGCAACTTCCGCTTCCGGGCTATCCTTTGCCGGAAGTAGTGTAGGAGTGACGCGAAAGTGTCGCGCAATGGTAATTCCGGAAGAAACAAAAGTGCGGCGTGATCATGGTGAGAAAGGAGGGTTGGAGAAGGGTCTTTTTCAGACTATATTTTGGGCGAAAATTCAGAGAGTCAGCCCCTGGCTAAATATCCTTCACACTTCCTTATTTTCATTACAATCCTAACTCTTGAAGTGGTCCAGACGGGGCCTGTTATGCTCTAGCGAGTAGGCACAGGGCTGGGGTAGGGCTGAAAGGATGCGGAGGTGGGCTTTTGAGGGAAGAAGGGAAAGGAGTGGACAAAAGAAAAGGAGGAACTCAAGAACATGGGGTGTATTTTCGACTCTTATAACCCTAAAATTTCTATTTTAAGGGGAAGCAAAAGAAGACAAGGAAATATGCGACCATGAAGCGAATGCTTAGTCTGAGAGATCAGAGGCTGTGAGTGTCTGGAATCAACTGGGCTCATAGGCAGCCCAGAGATACAAAAGTCACGAGGGAATAAGTAGCAAAACTTTTGTTGTTTTGTATTCACTTTTAATATTATTGTGTCTTCGATTTACATAGCATGAGATAGTCCAGTGTATACCATCCAACATAGCTGCTGAGTTGAGAACACTGGTGAATGGGATGGTAATTGAACATCTAAGTGTTCACTCTGTTCCACTGTTTGTTTGTTTTTTGTACTTTATCTACCATATCGTATTTAAGCCTCCTAATAGTTCTGTGAAGTGAATAGGATTATCTTTATGTTTCTGTCATTAGACTCCCCCGTTCCATAGGGGAAAATGTTATAAGTGTTGGAAGAAGGTGAGATCAGATACCATATTTGCCTTGTGACTCCAGTGCCTGACGTTCAAATATTTTTGAAAGGCTCCCCTGCTTCGGTGAAAATGGACAAAGTTATTTAATAAGGACTGGCCTTCATTGTGTTTAAGAGCCTCAGTACAATGGAACTGTCCTCAGTGTCTTCACAGTTATTGGATTGTATTTTCAGTCTTTAGTATGTGTTTTATTTGTAGTATTTGGGAGATTTGCCTATTGAAAATATTTCATTTCTAGTTAAAAGTTAAATATCGTGTATATATTGTGTAAATATTGTGTATGTTGTGTTACATTTTAACCCTTTATAAAAGACATGGAGGTTCCTTCCCCCTTCCTACTGTTGAAGCATCTGAGTCCTCAGAAGATAAGTGTCAGCTTTCTACCCAAACAGTGGGTAGAAAGGCTGACATTTTAATCCTTGATGAGAGCTTCTGACCAAGAAAGGAATGATAGTATAACTAACATTTATTTACCCATTAGCAATTTTTGAGTTACTGGTAGAGATTTTTTCAATTTAACTATGTCTAATTAATTATGTTAACTTCAGGCTACTTCCCACAGTTATTTGTGGTAAAAAAAAATATGTATACTTGTGTTAATATAAGCACAGTAGTAATATTGTGTATAGTAATGTTATTAATGTTATATTAATGTAAAGCTTATATTAACGTAAAGCAGTTACAAAATAAGATTTTCTCTGAAGACAAGAAACTTTTAATTTTGAATGAGGCTAACTGCTATTGCTCTTTCTTGTTTTCTGCATTTAATTTACTTTTTCTTTCCTAGTAAAGAAAAGGATAGATTAAAACCTAAAAAGAAAGAAAAGAAAGATCCTAGTGCACTCAAGGAAAGAGAAGTGTGAGTAATCAACATTTTCAAGTTTTCCTTTAAAACATTTTAAAACCATAAACCCCTTAGAAATCCAGCCTTTCCTGAACTGATTTGCTCAGTCATTTGTTTAAGTCCACAACTCTACGAACAAAAATGATATTAATGAACATTTACCAACTAGAATGGTCCTAAGACTTTTGAATTTCATGGAGCAGTAAAATTTTTCCTAAAATGAGTTTATTTGAGCCAAACTAATTACAAATGCTGGAAAGCAATGTCTCAAATGCTCTTAATTGCCATTGTTTAACTCACAGGCATTTCAGAAAAGGGAAAATGCATCATAAAAAAATAGTATGGCTGTATCTTCAGAATAAAGGTTACTCCTTTTATTAAATGAACACATTTAACTTTATGAAACTTCTTCACATTTTTCTTACTTTTTCTCATTTTGCCTTAGAGTGGTGATGGATAAATCACAGGATTTATTTCTGAGAATAAGGATAAAGGAGCTTAATCTATGGCAAACTCTGTTCCAAGTACAAACTAATTTTTGTTAATACCAAACTATCAGTGCACTTATTACTTTGTGTTTTATTTCTTTTTCTTTCAGCCCCCAATACTCTTCTTGCTTATTCTTCCAATACAACACACAGCTGGGCCCACCTTACCACATCCTGGTTGATACCAACTTTATCAACTTTTCCATCAAGGCTAAACTGGACTTAGTGCAGTCCATGATGGACTGTCTCTATGCCAAGTGTGAGTATCATACTTTTGCTTTCTGTGACATTTGTACGGAAATAATCATATTTATCCAAATACATGAACAGAGGGGAATGGTGTTCTAGTTAACGTAAGTGCTGGGCATTTAATGTGCTCACCATAGCAATGAACATTTTCAATGAATTGAAATACAATGCAAACTTGACTGGGAATGATTAAACTTTCACAACTCAGAAAACAGTGCTCTTCGGTCATTATTGGCATCAATTTTGAGCATAGGGAAGTTTTCTTTAGGATAAATGAAAATGTATTACATTTCTCAGTGTATGTATTCTTTTACATTGTGGAGAAAGCTATAGTGTAAAAAAGCTAAGTAAGACATTTTGTCATTTACAATCACAGAACCAAAAGTGATGATGGTCACTGATTCCTAGTTTATTCAGTTTGGTATTTATTTGTACCAGGATTTGGGTAGTTTATTTATACTTAGTCATGCAGTTTACCATTAATATCCCTTATGTATTTGGATGTCCCTTCCTTCAAATGATCTTCCTTCATTTTGATGAGGAGGAAAAAGAAGATTTAGGCTAAGTACAGGGAATAACTTTGTAATGTGAGATCTGTTGTATTTTGTGGTGGGTTTATATTCATAATATTGGGTTGACCAAAAGTTCATAGGTTTTTTTCTGTACGACGGTTCTAGCAGAGCTTAGTTGTCTTTAAATTCATTCAAAACAATTTGTTAGAGTGTGTGTGACAACTGTCATATCAGTGTGCATTTTTAAAAAACTTACCAAATTGGTGAATTTTTGTGTAGTCATTTTAATATTGAAGATGGAAGAAAATATGCAACATTTTTGGCATATGATGCTTTATTATTTCAAGAAAGGTAAAAAAACTGAAATGCAAAAAAAGATTTGTGCAGCATATGGAGAAAGTGCTGAGACTGACCAAACATGTCAGAAGTGGTTTGTGAAGTTTTACGCAGGAAATTTCTCACTGGACGATGCTCCAGGGTTGAGTAGACCAGTTGAAGGTAATGGTGATAAAATCAAGACATTAATTGAGATCAGTGTTCTACAATGTGGGAAATAGCCAACATTTTCAAAATACCCAAATCAATAAAGTTACTGGTAAAAATAGAAATGCATCTTTTATTTTACAGAAAAAATTTAACGCACTTTTTGGCCAACCCAGTGTTTTCCAGGCATCTAATTAAAGATACAAATAGAAATTAAACTTATACTTTGCTATAATTAAAGAATAAATTAATATAATCAGAGGAAAGTTTTTGCACCTCTTTCTTTAATATTTAAAATATACTGTACTATTATGAACCAATATTTAAAATATACTCATACTATATTATGAACAACATTATAAAGTGATGGTAATATACATGTTTATTGATTTATTAAAACTAGCAGGATGGTGTAAGAGTGTGATAGGTAAGAGAGCTAAATTCTTTAAATGTCTAAAAATTAATGAATAGAAAAAGTGACTGCATAAGGTTATAACAGTAACATACGAAGGTAACCACCAAGTGAGGAAAACAGCTAATAGTGTAAAATATTGTAGTTATATCTTAAGGATCAGAATTGGTATGGGAAAGTTTCAGAGGATTGTTATTTGTTCATATAGATCTTTCTGTATTTCTTTTTAAAGCCATGTACATGTGATACTTTAAATTTTTAAAAAATCTCTTAGGAATAATAAAGCTTAGTCCAAAGCTAGGACACTGTCATGGCTGTAGAAGTGGACTGGGGAGGCCCTGTACGAGGAAAGACAGTGAACTTGGTAGACATGTCCTAATCCCATGGTGTTGGTCATAGTTGTCTTAGCTGTTTCTCCAGCTTCTCAGGAGTGCTGTGACCTACTTGTAAATGACATCGACCGAGGGTTCAGACATGGCCCCTTGGCAGTGGATTGTTTCCTTGACACCATAGCTCCACCCTTACTATCTAGATGATGATTGTGTAGCTTTAGCCCTGTAGTTAGGCTTGCTCTAGATATGGATACTTTTAGAGTACAGCTATAATGCCATTTTTGAAAACAAGCTTATTAAGGAGAATACCACTCTGCAGTCTCTCGAGTAACATACCATACATAATACCTCAAAGTAAATGCTCAAGAAACATTTTAAGTGCAAACTCAGTTTCTTAGGAGATTAATTTAACTGTTAATCTCTGCTTACTTAATTTTTCTTCACTTGCCTCTATTCCTGAAGGGAGGCCTTTATCTTCTTGCCTTTAAGATGCCCCTTTTACGTTTTCATAGCTCCTGGTATATTCCACTTCCTTCTGATATTCCAACAAGGAGAAACAGTGAGCTTCCCATCAGCTTTCTTTTCTGCCCATGAGTGCTCTTCTCTGTTACTTTGTGTTGCTTTATAATGATCCTCCTGGGCCTACTTCCCTGCCCCAGATGCAAGCCCTTGCTTGTTTCACTGCTGCATGGCCCTTGAAATTGACCTTCTCAAGGCCTATATTGCTCTCTGATTCCATGATGAAATGATCTTACTGACTTTATACCTTTATTTTACATCTGCTCTTTGTTCTGGGTGTTATTTTTGATTTAAATTTTCTTAACTCTTGTCTGTTTTCAAAAGTATTAATGTGCTTGAAAACACAGCATTAAAAAATGGAAGTTCCTTATCATGCCTTACCTCAGAGAGGGGCAGTTTTAAAAAATTCATACACAATCTCTAGGATGGAAGTTAGTTTTGTTTCTTTTATTAATAAAAATGGATCACATTAATTACTATTTATGTTTGTGCTTTTTTAAAACTACTTTGAGATATACTCCACATAGTATACAATACACCCACTAAAGTGTACAATTCTTTGGTTTTTAGTGTATTCATAGTTGATCTTTAAAACATTTTCACTGATCCAAAAATATGTCTGAATCCCTTAGCCATCACTCTTCAACTCTTCCCCTTCCCTCCATCCCTAGCAGTCATGAATTTGTTCTCTGTCTGTGTATAGATTTCCCTATTCTGGACATTTCATTAATATGGGATCACAATATTTGGTCCTCTTTCACTTACTATGGCATTCTCAAAGTTATCTATGGTAAAGCGTATATCAGTTCTTTTTATTATCAAATAATATTCTATTGTACAGCTAGATCACATCTTATTTATTCATTTCTGCTTGCTATTTATGTTGAAAAACTATATCATGAGTGTTTTTCTGTCAATATTTGTAGATATACCTCATTTCTTTTTAAGTTACATAGTTTTCTATTTTTATAATTTATTTATTTGTTTGTTTGTTTGTTTGTTTATTTATAGAGGGGAAGGAAGGAGAAAGAAAGAAACATTAATGTGTGGTTGTCTTTCATACACCCTGTACTGGGGACTTGGCCGGTAACCCAGGCATGTGCCCTGACTAGAAATCAAACCAATGACCCTTTGGTTCGCAGGCCAGCACTCAGTCCACAGATGTACACCAGCCAGGGCCTATTGTTTATAATTTTTAAAAAACGATATTTTGCTAAACATTTGGAGGCCCTGTGATAAACAAGGCTGGACGGAATTGGTGAATATATCTGTGTTAGAGTGAAATATTTAAGGTGCATTTTCTAGAGCTATATTGTAATATCAAGGGGCATGTTTATTTTTTAATTCTAATAGGTAATGCAAAATTGCCCTCAAATAGTTATATGATTTTATAAACCTACTAACTTTGTTTCCTTACTATTAGGTATTTTCATCTGTTGATTCTGCCATTCTAACAGATAGAAAATGAAATCTTGTTTCAATTAATATCTCCGTAGAATAACATGGAGCCTCTTTATGCTCACTGACTATTTGTATGTCTTCTTCTCTGAACCAAAATGGGACATGGTAGTTAAGAACCCAGACTGTACTCTGACAGTTTCGGTTCAAATGTCATCTTCACCCTTTGCTGTCTGGGTACTTCTTTGTGCCTCAGGTTTCACATCTGTAAAATGGGGATGATAATAATAACAACACTGCCTGATAGGAATTGCCCTGAAGATTAAATGAGATAATCCTTGTAAAGTGCTTAGCATAATGTCTAGAAAATAGCACATAATTCTAAGCTATTATAAGCTCATAATATACTAAGGAAATTAGCCCTTTGAGAAATGTAGAAATATATTTCCCACTTTTATTTATACTTTAATATCTCTTTTAGTTTGATGGTTGCAAAGAGAAGTTTGGTGTTTTTTTTTAAGTTTTATACTTTTATGTGATTAAATTTACATTTTTTGTTTAATTTTAGGTTTCTTTTGGTTCACATTTAAATATTTTTCATCTAGAATTGATATTAATATTTAAAATAATAACAGGAATCCGGCTTAATTTTTTTTCTCCAAATGTATTTATAACAGATACTTTATGGAATCAGTGGTGTGGGGTTGGAACAGTTCACTAGTTTCTTTGTAAATAGGGATTTTATTCTACAGTTCTTACTCATTTCAGTGTGCTTATTCTGCTTTCTCCAGAAGTCTCGTAGGTCTTTTTAAGATTCTCAACGGAATATAATTCAGAGAGAGTACAATCAGTTTCTTCACGAGTTCTTTTACTAACATGTATTTGTTTTCCTGGCAGGTATACCTTGTATAACCGACTGTGTAATGGCTGAAATCGAGAAACTGGGGCAGAAGTACCGAGTGGCTCTAAGGTAGGAAGGAGCTTGGCGGTCTAGATTTGTTCTAGATCGGTGTACTGAAGGTTCTTTGGACTTTTCTCCATCTGTTTGCTGTCCAAAGATTGCTTGGCTGATGAGAGTAAATAAAAATATAAAACTAGTCAACTGTGGTCAAGAACATAGACACTTGAAGTTTAGAGATTTTTCAGCTGCAGCCTTTTTAAAAATTAAATGTATTGGTTAATAACATTGTATGTCTCAGGTGTACAACTTTGTAATAAATCTCGATATGCCATTGTGTGCTCACCACCTGAAGTCTGGCCTCCTCCGTCACCATGTATTGGACGCCCTTTACTCTCCCTCCTCCCCCAGCACCTCTCCTCTGCCAGCCACCGTACTGTTGTGTGTCTGTTTTGTTTACTCACGTGTTGCTTTTTGTTTTATATCCCACATATGAGTGAAATCATACGGTTTTTATCCTTTTCTGCCTGGTTTTGCTTAGCACAATACTTTTAAGATCCATCATCGATCTTTTTGCAAAAGGCAGTATTTCACCTTTTTTAAGGCTGAGGATTCCATTATATATGTATATGTACACATATATGTGTTTATATGCATGTATATACACATATATGTATATGTGCCATATTTTCTTATCTAACCATCCGTTGAAGAACACTTAGGATGTTTCTTTTTTCTTTCTTTTTTTTCCCCAAATTTTCAGTTGAGTTTAATAGGTTGTTTCTATGCCTTGGCTGTTATGAATAATGTAAGCTAAAGCTTTTTAAACTAAGTTACTTACTCATATTGGTCTTCTGGGCCACCTTTTACGTTTCTCTAGATTTTCAATTAGAAATTGTCTTTCTATCAGTTTATCTAGACATCTCCATCAGAATCTCACAGTTAAAGAATTCACATTCTCAGTTTGGAGTTTACTTTTGGAAGTACCCTTGAGTTAAGAGAAGCAGTTCCCCAAGTATGGTCCTGAACCCCTAGAAGTCTCAGAGACCTTTGCAGGGAGTTTGTGAAACTTTTCGTAATAATACCAAGACATTGCCTTTGTCAGTGTGCAGACGTTTGTACTGATGGCAGAAATGCTGGTTCGGTGCCTTAGTACAAATCACAGCAATGGGCCCAAATAATGCTAGTAGTCTTCGCCCTCTTCACTGCCACCCACTGACAGTTTAAAAAAAAAAGCCAGAGTCATTTAAGAATGTTCTTGATGAGCCCTGGCTAGTGTGGCTTAGTGGTTGAGTGCCAGACTATGAATTAAAAGGTCACCAATCTATTTCCATTCGGGGCACAGGCTTGGGTTGCAGGCCAGGTCCCCAGTAGGGGGCGTGCTAGAGGTAACCGCACATTGATGTTTCTCTCCCTCTCTTTCTCCCTCTCTTCCCCTCTCTAAAAATAAATAAACAAAATCTTTTCCCCCCCCCTTAAAAAAGAATGTCTTGATGAAATGGTGAAATTTGTTCATTTTATTAACTCTCAATCCTGGAGAACACGTCAGTGTTCTTTGTGATAGTGCGAGGCACACCTGGAATGCCTCTGCTGATGACCGGGTGAAGGTCACCTCGGCAGAAAGCACTTACGTGCTTGTTTGAGTTGTGGGCTGAGCCGGCTGCTTTGTCATGGACTGTGATTTTTATCTGAAGAACAACAGATAAACACAGATTTTTCAGACTTTGGCATTTAGCAAATACTTATAGTGAACCTGTTCCTCTAAGGAAAACAACTTATTATATTAGTTATCCATGATAAAATTCAAGTTTTCAAGTGAAAATCAGAGTTTTGGAAAATCATGAGCTTATCACCTTCCCAATACTAAAGGCCATTTTGTTGGGACCAGTGAAGATATTAAGTATGAGTATTTTGATATTGTATAATATAATGAAATGTGTCGATATTTGGAAGTGTAACTCAATGAATCACTATTTCCAAATGATTCATACATGACGTTACAAAATCAGGCATGGGTAAAAGACTCATTCAAAGTGCAAGGTGTACCTGGGAACTTGTGTGTGTGTGTAATTTACGTAGTGTAAAATTGGCCAAGTTTATTTGTGTCATTTGATGGCTCTGGCGAATGTATATGGTCATGGAACCATCATCAGAGGCGTGAATCAGAACATCCCATCACACCAGAAATATGATTCCATTTGTGTGAAATTCTAGAAAAGGCAAAACTGTAGTAATGGAATACAGATCAGTGGTTACCTGCCGCTGAGGATGGGAAAGGGGGCTCAGCTGTAAAGGGGACACGGGGGACATTTTGTAGCGATGGAAATGTTTAGTATCTGGATCGTAGGGGTAGTGACATGCATATGTATATTTATCAAGACTCATCGAATTTTATATTTATAATCAGTGAATTTTATTAGATTTTATTTATACCTAATATAGGTAATTTTTAAGGGCAAATAAAGGGGACCCAAATGTATGAGCGGTAGCATTATTTAGATCAGTAGGAAAGTGATTAACTGTTACAATAAAATATTGATTATCCCTGTGGGAAATAATTAAATTGGATCTTTATCTCACTTCTTTCACAAAAACCAATTCCAGGTAGATTGTTTAAACTTTTACAGAAAATATAGAGAATACCTTAGTTATTTTAGAGTAGGCAAGGATTTGTTAAGAAATACAAACCATAACGGAAATGAATCGATTTGACTCTATTGAAATCGAATACTTCTCTATAACAAAAGACACCATAAACATAGTGGAAAGATAAGCCACGGATATTAGTAACAATTATAATCAACAAAGAGTTTCTTTTTAAAATGTATTTAAAAACTACAAGCCTATAAGACAAGGACAGAATCCTTAAAATCACAATGAAATACCATTTCATACCGAAAAGATTGGCAAGAATTAAAGTATTCTTGACAATACCAAAAATAGTTGAGACTGGAACAGTGGGAATTCTCACACTCGGTTGCTAAGGATATAAACTGGACAGTCTTTTTTTTTTTTTTTTTAATCTTTAGAAGGGAAGGGAAGGAGAGAAGGAGAGAAATATCCATGTGTGGTTGCTTCTGGTGCATCCCCTGCTGGGAACTGGCCTGCAACCCAGGCATGTGCCCTGATGGGGAATTGAACCACGATCTTTTGGTTCGCAGGCCTGTGCTCAATCCACTGAGCTACACCAGCCAGGGCTGCACAGTCAGTTTGGAGAGCAGTTTGGTGATATCTGATAGAAACGAGGTTGTCCGTACTCCTGCAGCGCTGTGTCTTCCAACCTGGGATCACCACCTGCAGGTCATAAAGTCTATATAATGGTTCACAGCAAGTGTTTTTTAGTGAAGTACAGGCTGAACTAAACATAAAATACCAGCATGCATTGCATGTAGCATAGGTTGGGTACTGTATCACAGAACCTTTTTCACTTTCGTGTGTATGTGTATATATGTGCTTACTGTGTGCTAGGTAGCATGTTTCATACTGCAGGTCTGGTAAAAGAAAACAAAGTGGGGAGGGCGGCTGCCATAGCAAAGCTCACATATATTTATTGGAGACAGTTATTGGAATTTTCTTACATGTATAGTAGCAAAAGATGTCAGGCAGCTAAAAGATCTATTAAGATAATGAATAAATTGTGAAACATTCATGAATTAAATACTACACAGAAGTGAAACAAATGTAGAGGTATATATCAATGTGGATAAACCACAAAGACAATGTAAAAAAGAAAGTAAGCACATACGTGGAACATATAATTATCTAAAGTTTAAAAACTTGCAAACCTGGCCCTGGCTGGGCAGCTCAGTTGTTCAGAGCATCATCCTGATATACCAAGGTTGCAGGTTCAATCCCCGATCAGGGCACATACAAGAATCAACCAACGAATGCGTAAGTAAGTAGAACAACAACTCTCTTTTTCTCTCTCAAATCAATAAATTGTTTAGTGCAAACTACATTGTTTATAGGCACATACATACATAATCTTATATACACAGTAAAATTTGTGTGGGACTGATAAATACTTGTAGAGAGGTAAAAAGAGATTAAGAATGGAGAGGGGGCTTCTTTTTATTTTAATGTTTAACTAGATGGTGGGTACAGTTCATCATTCCTTACACTTTTTTACACACTTGAACTACTTTGAATAAAAGGGGGTAAAGAGGCAATTATTTAAAAATAATTTAAAAATAAACAATGGGAGGGGAGGAAAGAGAAGCAGCAAGTGGAAGCACCAAGTTTGGCTCTGAAGAAAAGCAGAGACGTGGGGTGTTGACTGCAGGGGCTGGTATAAGTAAAAAGGATTTTTTTTTTTTCTTTTTTAAATGGGTGAAGTGCTAAGGCGCGTTGGTATGTTTCTGGGAAGGATCAGTGGGAAGGAGGAGGTCGGTGATTTCAGCAGTGAGGGGACAAGTAGAGCAGAGGCCTGGACTGTGGCCTACCTACCGCGTCTCTCAGCAGCCAGTCTGCCTGTCTCGTAGTGTGTCCTGTGGAATCTTCCTAAGACAGGGCTTTGCTTGTGTCCCCTGACTCCCCATCACCTGTGTCGTGGAGCTCTCACTCCTCAGCCTGGCGTTGGAGACTCCTCTTCCCAGTCCCTTCTACCTGCCTTTCCAGCCCTGTCTCACTTTCCTCTGTGTGAACACCTTCTCACTCTTCCCTGAACACACCCAAACCATTTTACAGATGGCTGGTGCCCCATTTGGAATGTGCCTGCCTTCACTCTGCCTGGAACATTCTTTTATCTTCATTCTATTTTTATCTCCCTGTAATTTTTTTCAAATTTACCCAGCCCACATTGACCTAGCTCTGAACTGCTGCAGTGTGGGATATTTTTGCTGCACGTGGTACCTGTGTGCTGCCTGGTATTTTTATTCATTTAGTGGCTCATCATCATTGTGTAATGGAGCATGGCTCTGGGGACCACGGGCCTGGGGTTTTCTATTCCCAATTTGTATGAAAATAGTGCATGTTTGATTTGCTAATGGCAAACAGTATGAACATGTACATCCCGGATGGGGCAAAAATAGGCTTACAGTTGTGAGTATGCAAAACAGTTTATTCTTGCATCATTATTTATTATTGTATTATTTTCCATAGAAATAACTGCAAGCCTACTTTTACCACACCCTGTAAAATAAAAAATAAAATTCAAAAAAATTAAAAAATTTAAAAATAAAAATAAAATTCCCCCTCCATATTCACACTGTCTCCAGCCTCCTATCCTAAGATTGACAATTGAAAATGATTAGTATATACTTAGTATGTACTTAAGATTTCCATGCAAATCCAAATCTAGAGAAAGAATCAGAAAAGATTTGTATTTTCTTAATTGAATGACAGTTCAGTGACCTGTCTTGTTTATTAAGCAATATATTATATTTGAACAATTAAAATTAAAAAATAAAAATAAAACAAAAAAACCAATTTATTATAGGCCTTTCCACATTGATACCTATAGCCCTGCCTCACTTTTTAACAGAATAGGAGCACCAAAATGTATTTCACTTTTCCCTTATTGATGGATACTCAGATTATTTCCAGTTTTGCATTGTTACGAACTATGCTGCAGTGGCCATCCTTGTGCCTGTATGCTTGTACATATGTGTAAGAAAACTTCCTAAAAATGAATTGGTCGGCTTAAGATTGATGGCTTTAAATCTTGGATTTTCCAGCTGGGTTGCTTTAAACAGATTACTTCGTCTCTGAGTCTGCTACCTCAACTGTAAATGGAAATATAATAACTCAGAGTTTCATGAACATTACATGACCTAAGACACGCCAGCTGTCAGCCAGGAAGTTTTAATTCCCTCTTATATAAGTTGTCTTTCCAATCAGAAGGTCAGCTTCATGAGGAGTGGGTGCCTTAAAGTCTACACGTAGATTATGTTACTCTTATTTCACTGAGTGAGTCTGAGAAAGTTATCCAATTGCCAGAATGTTTTCCTTAATCCAATTCTGTAACCCTCCAGGATTGCCAAGGATCCAAGATTTGAACGATTACCGTGCACACACAAAGGAACCTATGCAGATGACTGCTTAGTACAGAGAGTAACTCAGGTATTGTTTACTTTGTGCTTTTAAAAAAGAAAAGCTATTTTCTCCTGAAGGTTTATGGTCAGAAAAGGATCTAGGAATATAAATGGTAAAAAAAAAATCGCATAGAATCCCTTTATCGGAAGCGGATGTCCTCACTTACTGGGGAACATGGCCCGGAAAAGCATACTGTGACTTTCGTGGAAAGACCATGGGGGGGGAGGAAACGTGGGTTTCAAATACCAGCACCTGAATTTGCTAGGTATGTGATTTGGGGCACTTACTGATTCCTGATTCTATAACTCTTCTCTATAAAATGATTAAAGTGAGTGAGTATGGACAATAATGCAGTTGACCCTTGAACAATGCCAGGGTTAGGGACTCTGGCCCCTGCATGATCAAAAATCTCTATTATAACTTGACTCCCCCAAAACTTCAGTTTTCCCTTGGTATCCATGGAGGAATACCAAGGACCCCCCATGGATACCAAACTCTGTGGATGCTCAGGTCCCCTGTATAAAATGGTGTGGATCGATGCATACGGTCTGCTCTCCGCATCTGCAAACTCTCAACCACAGAACAAAAACAGTACAGGTATTTGTTGAAAAAATCCACATAAAAGCGGACCTAAGCAATTAAAACCCATGTCGTTCAAGGGTCAACTTGTCTGAGAGTTCACCTCCCTGTGAATTTAAAATATAGTTCTATTTCCATTTATTCCCCACCATGAAGGAATTTTGTTCCTTCCTACCATGCCTAACCTAGATGTATTTCTCAGCTACACCTAAGTCTCCCGGGTGCTGTCTCACAGGTACCCTGGAATCAGTGGGTCTTTGATTCCTTGCCAAGCACCACAAGAACATCTGGTACTAGTTGCCCTTATAAGAGCCTCTCTCTGCTGAGGATCATCATCTTCATTGGGCGACCACACTGTCGGCCCTTTAGCAGCTCCATCTTGTGGGCGTGGCCAGCATTTTCCTTAATTTCCTACCGCACAGCTGACATCAGCCTACAGCTCTTTATAAAACTCAACAGGAGATTTGGTATGATGGAAGCAAAGTACAGCACACGCTCGCTCCCAGCTGGCAGCTGCATGTTATTTCTGTCAGAGTTGCTAGGCTCAGACTTGTCCTGGGGATCCTATTCTGGCTTCATGGCCAGGAAGGTGGCCTGCCTCCACCACGGGAGGCCCCCGTAGCCTTGCGATCCTGGGAAAGGCAAAGGCTGTGCCCTCCAACCTAAGGCACTTACTGTGCCTTTGTCTAGAGTCCCTCTGGGCATTTTCCCAAAAGCAAGGAATTGTCTACCTCAGATGTGAAAGTCCCTTCCACCTACAAGACAAAAAATGGTGTGCAGCTTAGCTTTTCTATCCCCGCCTCTCCTGCTGCCAAGATTCTTAGAGCTACATTCAGTTCAGGCAGCTTATTAATATGTTTTATAAATGCGAGCTCCTAGATCATACTATCTACTCAACAAATTGCTATAACCTTGCCTTGGTATTTACTGTGAAAATGAATGAATTCTTCACACTGGCTAGTGGTCGTGCCATTATAGTATCACTGAGTAGACTCAATAAACTGTGTGTGTTTCTTATAGCACAAGTGTTACATTGTGGCCACAGTTGACCGGGACCTTAAACGAAGAATCAGGAAGATCCCTGGAGTTCCCATCATGTACATTTCTAATCATAGGTGAGAACTTCCTCCTGGGGAAGTGCTTCAGAGTACATAGTTGATATCAGTTAAAAAATTAGGTCAGGCCCTGGCTGGTGTAGCTCAGTGGATTGAGCGTAGGCCTGAGAAACAAAGGGTATCTGCTTCAATTCCCAGTCAGGGCACATGCCTGGGTTGCAGGCCAGTTCCCAGCAGGGGACACAAGAGGCAACCATACATTGATACTTCTGTCCTTCTCCTTCCCTTCCCCTCTAAAGATAAATAAATAAAATATTTTTTTAATGAGGTGAGGTTATAGAAGAGTTTCAAAGAGAATTGTTGTATCAAATGTTTATACAGTTGTATTTGGAGAAATGAGACAAAAGAACAAAGGCAAAGGATAAAGCTAGGATTTAGGAATGAGGTAGACTTTCACGTTGCTACAATATGATTACCAGAAGAAAGAGAGCAATGTGTTGCTTTAAAACATAAAGAAGTAATTTAAATCAAGCTAATCTTTTTTGGCCAGAAATTTTCCTTTTAAAGCCTAGTGCATGTGATTAGCACCCCTCTGGGAAACTAAAAGTTTATTTAAAAAAAAAAAAAAACAACGTTCTTTATCCTTCTCGGATGTTCCCATGTCAGCACAAGGTCTTCAAACTGTTATTGTCCGGCCTTTCAGCCCGAGGAGAACACAATATAGAGGGAATAACACGGGCTAAGCAGTCGGGCTTGCCTGGGCTCGGTGCCTGGCTTGCCCAGTTGTTACCTTTCTGACTTTGAAGAATAAAGAAAATGTATTACTGTCAGCATTCTGCTTTACATCAGTCATTATGGTAGCCCTTTAAAATATTCCCACTGACAGAAAGGACTCAGAGCGAGGGTGAGAATATTGCAGTCAGTAAACGATGGGTTTTTAGGTGGGTGCTGGACCCACTTTTCTTACCAGTGTTAATTTTCTGTCCTGATCAGGTACAACATTGAGCGGATGCCAGATGATTATGGAGCCCCTCGGTTCTAGTGCTTAAAGGATGAAGTTCCTCTGCCTTCCTTCAACCAGCTTTCTCCGTTGCCAGTTTATTAAACGTGCTACAGAATGAGTTGTTATTGCTCCACTCACCCACTTGCTCTGTTATGTGCTAAGTAGAATTAAATACACTCACTTTTTGATGTTGCTTTGAAAATAGTATTTTCTATCATTTTAATATTTGTTACATCTTTTTTATAAATCAGATGACTGCTCACAGCTTTGATGCTTGTTATTTTATATTTACTCAGCAAATATTTATTAAGGTTATACTCAGTACATAATAAGATATGATCCTGCCCTCAAGATACTCATGTTACAGTGGGAAAGAGAAACATGTAGATGAATAAATACAGTAAAGTACTGGTGCCGGGATAAAAGGATGAGGGAACAGACACATGAGACAAAGGAATGAGTTCTTTCTACTTGGTTGGGGTAGGGAGGGAAGAAAGGCTCAAAGTGTGATGTTTAAATTAATCTTTAAAAGTAAATAGAAATAGGTACTTGCTCAGTAAATTATGAAAATGAGGCACAGGAGACATGAACAAAAGCATGGGCACAGATATGACATGAAATTGATGTGTTTGTGCAGACAACTGCCAGAAGGTTTTTATAACTAGAACATTGGGGGAAGTTGTCTGTGCCCACATCTGAGACTCCAGAGGTATGAGGAGGGGATAAAGGTGACTTATGTGACTTGCTAACGGGTTTGGACTTGATCTTGAGGTCAATGGAGTTATTAAAATTTTAATTAGGGCACATAACATAATCAGAATAGCTGTTTTAAGTGCTCACAAGGTAGAGTAGGAATAGACAAATCACTGAAACAATAGAAAGTCCACAAATCCCTGTATATTTTTGTCAGTTTGGTGTATTTTAAAGGTTATATTTCAAGCCTGTAGAAAAAGATTGTATGAGAAGGCCAAATAGTGTAGAGTCATTTTACCAGGGTTAGAATTCTGATTTTACTGGTTAATATCTATATAAATTGGGCAAACTACATAACCATTTAGTGCCTTTCTTGCTACCTCTTAAAAATATTTTGAAAAAAAATAGTTTTATTTAATCCTCAAAACAACCCAGATAAGATGGGGTTAAATTGAAAAAAAGAGTTGTTCAATAAATGTTAGTAGTTATGTTATAAATGCAAGTTCACTATCCATTTGAAAAAACTTTGTATTCCTACTTTATATCCTTCATGAGAATACAGTGCAACTGATCAGATAACTAAACTTCTTTTTAAGCTATGGAAGTATTAGGAAAACACATGAAAAATATGTGTAACCTTTGGATAGAATTCTCAAATAAGATGAATGTAAAAGTCATAAAAGAAAATATTAAGCCCTGGCCTACTGCTCAGCTGGTTGAAGCATCATCCCGATACACCAAGGCTGCAGGTTCTATCCCCAGTCAGGACACATAAAAGAATCAACCAATAAATGCATTAATAAGTGTAACAACAAATCTCTCGCTCGCTCATAAATAAGTCGCATTTCAAAACACTAACAATGACCAACCAAAACAAATTAAGAAAACAATTCCATTTACTATAGCATCAAAAAGGATAAAATAGGAGGAAACGCTAAAGAGGTGAAAGACTTGTACAATGAAAATTATAAAACATTGCTAAAGGAAATAAAAGATGCAAAGAAATGGAAAGACATTTCATGTTTGTAAATTGAAAGTCAATATTGTTAAAATGTCTATGCTATCCCAAACTACAGATTCTATCCATTTTCTGTCAAATGCTCAGTATTTGAAGAAATAGGAAAAAACATGCCGGAATGTATGTGGAATCTGAAGGGATCCCAAGTAGCCAAAACAATCTTTAAAAGAACAAAGTTGAAGGCCTCATGCTTCCTGATTTGAAGACATGTTACAAAGCAGTAGTAATCGAGACAGTGTTGTTCCAACATTAAGACAGATAGACAGACCAGTAAAACAAAAAGCACAGAATAGCACCTTGTATGTATTGCCAAGAGATTGTCAAAAAGGGTGCTAAGACTCCGCAATAGGCAAAGGACAGCCTTTCAGCAAATGGTACTGGGAAAACAGGATGTCCACACCAAAAGGATGAAGTTAGACTCACCTTATACCATAGACAAAGATTAACTTAATGGATTTAAGACCTAAAACGGTAAGAGCAGAAGAAAACACGGGGAAACTTCAAGATATTGGATCAGCAATTATTTCTGGAACCTCACTCCACAAGTATGGTCAACAGAGGCAAAGTAGTCAAAATTGCATCAAACTAAAGAAGCTTTTGTGCATCCAAGGAAAGAGCAGCCTGTGGAATGGCAGAAACTATTTGGAAGTCATTTACCTGATAAGGGATTAAAATCCAGAATTTATATGGAACTTCTGTAACTCAACGACAAAAAAAACAAGTAACTTTAAAATGGGCAAAAGACTCGAATTGACAATCATCTGAAGAAGATACAAGCATTGCCAACAAGCACGGGAAGAGATGTTCATTGTCACTAATGAATGCAAATCAAACCAACAATGAAATAACACCTCACACCCTCTAGGATGGCCACTGTCAAAAGGACAGAAAATAAGTGTGGGTGAGAATGTGGCCAACATTCTATTAACTGGAACACTTGTGTGTTGTTAGGAAGGTAAAGTGGTGCAGCCACTATGAAAAACTATGGTGGTTCCTCAAAAAATCAGAAATACCATGGTATGGCAATCCCACTTCTGTGTATATGTTCAATAGAATTCAAGGCAGGCTCTCAAAGAGATCCGCACACCCAAGTTCATTAGAGCTCTATTCACAACCAACAAGTGGGTGCAGCACAAATACCCACTGACAGCTCAAGGAGTAAAGAAAATGCAGTGTATGCACACAGGGGGATATTATGCAGAGTTAAAAAGGAAGGAAATTCCATCATATGCTACAACACAGATAAACTTCAAGGACATTATATTGAATGAAATAAGCCAGTCACAAAAAAATAAATACTGTATAATTCCACTCATATGAAGTAAATAAAGTAGCTAAAATAGGGACAGAGAGCCCTGTCTGGGTAACTCAGCATTGTCCCAATGTGACAAGGTTGTGGGTTCAATACCCAGACAAGGCACATGCAGAAATCAACCAATGAATGCATGGATGAGTGAAACAAAAAAATCAGTGTTTCTCTTTCCCCACCTTCCTCTCTCTTTCTAAAATCAATTTAAAAAAAAAAAACAGAAACAGGACAGAGATAGGTGGGTAGTGCCAGATGCAGAGGAGAGGAGGGAGGGAAATTAGTATTTAGTAGGTATATAGAGTTTCATTTTTTGCAAGATGAAAAAATTTTAGAGATTTATTGCTTAACAATGTAAATATACTTAGCCCTGCAAACTATACACTTAAAATGATAAAGATGGTAAATTCAATGGGATGTGCTTTTTGCTACAATAAAAATTTATATTGAGGACTTCTGCCAAGATGGAGGCATAGGTGGAAACACTTTACCTTCTCGCACAACCAAGTTTAAAAATGACAAAGTTTTAGCAACAAAAATGCAGCCAAACCACAGAAAATCTAACTATATGGAAGTCTGACAACAACGAACCCTTCAGCCAAACTGGTAAGGGGGGCAGAGCCAGCAGCAGAGCGGGGTCAGGCAGGAAAGATCCACCGGACCGACCCCGGCACGCAACCCAGGCAAGCAGGCAGCCGTGGGCAGATCCACTGAGGGCCCAAAGCGTTGGACCCACTGAGGGCAGACCGTGGTCACACATTTGAGTGCAGATAACCGTAAACCGGTGAAGGAGCAAGCAGTGAGACAGACCTCCCAGGCCCCAGAGGAGGGAAACAGCAAAGGGGACCGCTATTGTCCCTCTCTGACCCCGTCCCCACAGACAGTGTCACAAACCAGTGGCCTGGGTGGCCCCGCCCTGGTGAACACCTAGGGCTCCACTCCTCATAGTAACAGGCACGAACAGATCAAAACATGGCTCAAGAACAACTCAGAGCCCCAGAGCCCATAAATCTAAGCAACAAAGGAATAGCCAAACTTTCAGATGCACAGTTCAAAACACTGGTGATCAGGATGCTCACAGAACTGGTGGATTTTAGCCACAAATTAGAGGAACATATGAAGGCTAAACTAATTGAAATGAAGGGAAATGCACAGGAAACCAATAGTAATGGAAAGGAAACTGGGACTCAAATCAAAGGAGTGGACCAGAAGGAAGAAAAAAATGACCCAACAGAAAAGGATGAAGAAATAAGAATTCAAAAAAATGAGAAGCTTAGGAACCTTCAAGACATCTTTAAACATTCCAACATCCGAATTATAGGGATACCAGAAGGGAAAGAGGAACAGCCATGAGTGGAAAACTTATTTGAACAAATAATAAAGGAGAACTTCCCCAATCTGGCAAAGGAAATAGACTTCCAGGAATTCCAGGAAGCTCAGAGAGTCCCAAAGAAGTTGGACCCAAGAAGGAATACACCAAGGCACATCATCATTACATTAGCCAAGATTAAAATGAAGGAGAGAATCCTAGAAGCAGCAAGAGATAAGGGGACAGTCACCTACAAAGGAGTGCCCATCAGACTGTCAGTGGATTTCTCCAGAGATCTTACAGGCAAGAAGGGACTGGAAAGAAGTATTCCAAGTCATGAAATCCAAAGACCTACAACCAAGATTGCTCTATCTAGCAAAGCTTTCATTTAGAATGGAAGGACAGATAAAGTGCTCCCCAGATAAGATCAAATTCAAGGAGTTCATCATCACCAAACCCTATTATATGAAATGTTAAAGAGACTTACCTAAGAAAAAGAAGATAAAAAAAGATGAACAGTGAAAGGACAGCAAACTCACAGTTATTAAGAACCACACCTAAAACAAAAGCAAACTAAGAGGACAGCTAGATCAGGAGCAGAACCATGGAAATGAAGATCACATGGAGGGTTAGCAACAGGGGAGTGGGAGAAGGAGAAGGGGGGAGAAGATACAGAAAATAAGTAGCATAGATGGTAGGTAGAAAATAGGGTGGAGGGCAAGAATAGTATGGGAAATACAGAATCTAAAGAACTTGAGACACGTGGTCATAAACTAAGAGGGGGAATAGTGGGGGAGGGGTGTTCAGGGTGGAGGGGAATGAAGGGGGGAAATAGAACAACTGTAATGGCATAATCAATAAAATATATTTAAAAAATTAAAAAATTTTATATTGAGCCCTGGCTGGTGTAGCTCAGTGGATTGAGTGCGGGCCTGCGA